CTTCATGTCTGTTTTTGTGCCAGTACCATGCTGTTTTTATTGTTATTGCTTTGTAATATAGTTTGAAGTCAGGTATCGTGATACCTCCAGCATTGTTCTTTTGACTGAGTATTGCCTTGGCTATTCGTGGCCTCTTGTGTTTCCAGATAAATTTAACGGTAGATTTTTCGATCTCTTTATTGAATGTCATTGGAATTTTGATGGGAATTGCATTAAACATGTAGATTACTTTGGGGAGTATCGACATTTTTACTATGTTGATTCTACCAATCCATGAGCATGGGAGATCTCTCCACTTTCTATAGTCTTCCTAAATCTCTTTCTTCAGAAGTTTATAGTCTTCCTTGTAGAGGTCATTCACATCTTTTGTTAGTTTTACACCTAGGTATTTGATTTTTTTTGAGGCTATTGTAAATGGAATTGTCTTCATATATTTTCAGTTTGCTCATTGTTAGTGTATAGAAATGCTAATGATTTTTCTATGTTGATTTTATATCCTGCTACCTTGCTATAGCTATTGATGGTGTCTAGGAGCTTTTGAGTAGTTTTTTGGTCTTTAAGGTATAGGATCATGTCATCTGCAAATAGGGATATTTTGACAGTTTCTTTACCTATTTGTATTCCTTTTATTCCTTCTTCTTGCCTAATTGCTCTGGCTAAGAATTCCAGTATTATGTTGAATAGGAGTGGAGATAATGGGCATCCCTGGGATGAAGGCTACCTGGTCGTGGTGAATAATCTTTTTGATGTGTTGTTAAATTCAGTTTGCCATTATTTTGTTGAGGATTTTTGCATCAATGTTCATTAAGGAGATTGGCCTATAGTTCTCCTTTTTGGAGGTGTCTTTGCCTGGCTTTGGGATAAGTGTAATACTGGCTTCATAAATGTGTTTGGCAGTTTTCCTTCCCTTTCTATTTTGTGGAACAGTTTAAGGAGGGTTGGTATCAGTTCTTCTTTTAAAGGTCTGATAGAATTCAGCAGAGAATCCATCAGGTCCTGGACTTTTCTTTTTGGGGAGACTCTTGATTGCTGCTTCAATTTCATTTTGTGTTAAAGATCTATTCAGGTGATTAATATCCTCTTGGTTCAGTTTTGGATGATCATATGTATCTAGAAATCTGCCCATTTCTTTAAGATTTTCAAATTTATTTGAATATAGGTTCTCGAAGTAGTCTCTGATGATTTCCTGGATTTCCATGATGTTTGTTGTCATCTCCCCTTTTGCATTCCTGATTCTACTAATTTGGGTTTTTTCTCTCCTCATTTTAGTCAGGTTTGCCAGGGGTCTGTCAATCTTGTTTATTTTTTCAAAGAACCAAGTTTTTGTTTCATTAATTCTTTGTATGGTTTTTTTGGTTTCTATTTCATTGATTTCAGCTCTTATTTTTATTATTTCTCTCCTTCTATTTGTTTGGGGATTTGCTTGTTCTTTTTCTAGGAGCTTGAGATGTATCATTAGGTCATTGATTTGAGATCTTTCAGTCTTTTTAATATATGGTTGCCAACATTCTAAAGGGAGCTGAAGATTCTCTGTTTTCAGTCTTGATTCAAGGGGTACTGCCCCTCTACCTTCTCTTCATCTAAATCCAGGCCTGGTCAATATGATTCTAGGATATGGTGACTGATTTTATTAGAATCAGCACATTTCTAATAAGGAGACACTTACTGATAGACTGTGTTGGTATGGATAGGATAATTCTTCAACTGATCACAAAGCACCTTTTCCAGTGAGGCCTCCTCACCCTGGCCGATGTACTCCTGGTACTCCCCTTAAAAGTCTACTTTCCTTTTTTCCCATGGCATTTTTTTTGCCTTGTCATAGACTATATAGCTTATACTTATTATTTATTGTGTGCCCATACTTCTCTCTGCCCAGGGACCACCACTAATATAAAAATAAGCTTTCTGTTTATCACTGATGGTATTTTAAGACCCTGGCAAACAGTAAGAGTCCAAAAAGTTTTATGTTATGAATAATTAAATCCAACCTCAGACTGGTTTTTTTGCTGTTGTTGTTTACTTTGTGTGTGTGTGTGTGTGTGTGTGTGTGTGTGGGGTACTGGGGTTTAAACTCAGGGCAGGTACTTTACCACTTGAGTTATGCCCCCTGCCCTTCTTTGTTTTAGTTATTTTTTGGACAGGGTCTCTTGGTTTTGTCCAGGGCTGGCCTCAGGCTGTGATCTACCTACCTATGCTTGCCATATAGCACCATGGTCCAGCTTTTTGGTTGAGGTGGAGTTGTTAACTTCTTGCTTGGGCTGACCTTGAACAGTGATCCTCCCCATCTCCACATCCTTAGAAGTTGAGATTACAGGCGAGAGCCACCACACCCAGCACCCCCTTCAACATACCTTTTTTTTTTTTTTTTTTTGAGATGGTCTCATTATGAACTTTTGGTTAGCCTCAAACTCACTATGTAATCCAGGCAGGCCTCAAACTTGCAATCTTCCTGCCTTTGCCTTCTGAGTGTTAGGACTATAGGCCTGAGCTACACGTCCTGCTGAGTATGCTATTTTCAATAAAAATTTGTCTTCCTTGGATACTGGAAAGAAAAGGAGGATATAAAATGGATGCTTAAAAAACAAGTAATTAGGCCAGGCACTAGGCTCATGCTTATAATCCTAGCTACTTGGGAGGCTAAGATAAGATGAATCACAATTCAAGGCCAGCTTGGACAAAAAGTTCATGAGATCCCATTTCAACCATAACTGGAGGTGGTGGCACTCGTCTGCATTCCAGCCAACAGCAGGAAGTATAAAATAGACTCGCAGTCCAGATCGGCCTGGGCAAAAAGTGAGATCCCATCTCTGAAATAACCAGAGAAAAAGGGCTAGAGGAGTGGCTTAAGTGGCATCTGCCTAGGAAGCTCTGAGTTCAAACCCCAATAGCACAAAACCAAAACCAAACCAAACCAAAAAAAACAAACAAATGAGTAATTAGTCGTAGGAACCAGCAGGTAAATAGGAGCCGACACTCATTTTGCTCAACAAGCATTACTGATTGCTCAGGATAAAGACAGAACAATCACTTACACCAGCAACTCATTAGATTCAGATAGAAGTGTCCCCAAAAGCACATCTACTAGGTAGCTGATCACTAATTGACAGTATTCTTAAGAATAGTGCTATTTCCTATTTAGTCTCAACTCTGAAAACACTGCATACAGAAGGGAACACATCTTTTCCTTCCTCACACTGACAGATGGAAATACCTGCAAGGCAGGGAAGAAGAATGGTGGGTAGGGCAGAGTATCAGTGGTAGAGAGCAAATGTGTGTGTTTGTGTATAAAGAGGTCTAATGTGGACATCAGGGAATAACAACTGATCCCTTATAACCTGTAGCATATACATTATCTTACTTGATCTCTAAAAAAACACAGCAAGAATTTATTCTGCTGCCATATGGGAATCTCCTTAGCCCCTCTGTGTCAATAACATCCTGTACACTCTGCACTGACATCGCTATTTACAATACACTTTGTCTCCTTCTTCCTTGTATTTCTTTTCAAGCTCCTCAAGACTTGAAGTCTTAGACTTCAAGTTTAGACTGCAAGCTCCCCAAGGTTTCTGATTCTCCAAAGACTAGCACAAGGTATTTATTAAATGTCTGTAGAAATAACCAATTTCTCATGAAGAACCATGTGCCAAGGATATCTGAAATTCATTTAAGGGTCATAACTAAGACTGGATACTAGGTCTCAGAATCACAAAGCCTATTTCTATCAATTATCTTTTTTTTTCTTTTCCTTTTTTTTTTTGCGGAGCTGGGGATAGAAACCAGGGCCTAGAGCATGCCAGGTAAGTACACTACCACTGAGCTATACTCCCCAACACCTATCAATTATCTCTTAACGAATAATGTGCTTGGAACTAAAGACGGCAAACAAGAGAAACTGAGTGACTGAGAACAAGTTCACGATAAAGGAACAGAGAGAGAAACCAACCTCAAGGACAGTGAAGTCTCCCAGCCAATCTGAGGCAGGCCACCCTATATGTTAAAATCCTGTTTTGTGGCTTTCTTCCACAATTAGGACCTTCCAAAGTGGCCAGGACTGGCAGATAAAAGCCTTTTAAGGGACCCTCTGAAGGTAGAATTAAAACTGGAATCCCCAACTATAAATTTCAGTGGCTGCTACTATAGTGTCCAGCCTTTCTTTGAAAGTACCCTATTTGCATTTAATCAATTCTTTTGAACAGTCATAGCTAAAGTGAATGTACACTTCATCTCACCAGAATTACACAGACTTTGGGGCAGAAATCAGAATGGACTAAGATGGAAAGGGAGTGTCCAGCACTAGCCTGGGATGTGGCATCAGGAGGGAGCACTGAGATTCAGAATACAACACTGAATTTGCAGGCAGCCAGGCCAGGTTTTAAGACCTATCTGTGTAACTTTAGAAAAATCACTTTCTTTCTTTGGTTTTCTCAGCTACGAAACAAGCATGGCAATGTGTATTTTGTGGGGTGGCTGTGAAAATTAGAGATAACCTCCCAACATAAGAGGCACTATTTTTGATCTTTACAGAATAGCTATGAGCCTGATGGAATGGAGAAATGGGTAGGAAAATAGTATAGCTTCCAATGGGAGGGAAGGAAGGCTCCCACCTTTCCTAGGTTTCATCACAATCTCCAGAAAAAGCCCTTAGGGGAGTCCTCGCTAGGGACAGTGACAGACAGACTTCTCAACATGGACAGACAATGGGCAACAAGACGTTCACTGAACCATTTACAATAAGCTTTCAAACATGTGGTTGCCTTGATAGTGCAAATGACTTCCCTAGGGTCCCAAAGCCAATGAATAATGGAGCTGGGATCCAAGGTCACACCTGTTCTCTCCACATCTACTGAACAGGCAAATGCACTAGTGTAGTGGGTACCTTACCTGAATCCATCTCCCTGCTCTAGAGAAGATAGCAGGGCTTAGGTAAGGGTGAACAGCAGTCAAGAACACAGCCAGCAAAGACCTTGCTAAAGAGGCCCTGGGTGGAAAGAGGTTCTCACCTGTCATTTCGGCTGATGGCTGCCACCATCAATGCTGTCCAGCCAAGCTTGTGCCTTGCATTGACATCTGCACCTTCCGACAACAATCTAAAAAAAGGTAAGAGGAATATTCTCAGTATATGGCATATTATGGACATGAGTAGAAATAACCACAGAAGAAATGACAGTCAACAAACATGGAGGCTGACTGACTCAGGAAATAGAGGCCTTTCAGAAATAAATCCCCAATCCCAGTGACTCTGATCATTCTCCCCACACTCAAGGAGTCTGCCCAAGTTGTCATCTTTCCAGCTTTCTGAAAAAAGAATGTGCCTTCTCTACCCTAATACTCTGACATTCCTACTCCCCTGGTCCAGAATGTTCTCTCCCTTCCTCTTTGCCTGTTCAACCAAATCCTGCTCTTACATCATGCTCTGCAATCCTGTACCAAGCACTGTGCTCTGAGAATCCTTCCTTGACTCACCCAATCTGCAGCTCTTCCCCTCTTAATTTCCCAATGCTTATTAACACAGAATACCTACTAATCTATTTCATTTAGGTAGTTCCCAGTTTACAAATGGATCACATTCCTCAAGTTTATCTGGACCATACATGTTTACAAAATGTAAATCCTTCAACCCAAGGAAAGATGGAAAGAATGTTAAGAAATACTAGATTAGGGTCCTAGAAGCGCCCACATGGACCTTATTGGAATCTATATGCCACTGCTTAGCACATAGTAGGAGCTCAATGACTGTCAAGTGAATTAAACACTTAAGCTCTAAAGCATACCATTATTTGTCTGAATTCTGGGACAAGAGGGTCTACAATGAGAAGGGAATAAATAGAACTAACTTTTACTGAGCACTCTGTAGAAGCAGGGTCTATCCTCAAACATTCATGAGTTTGTTTAGTCTTCACACCAGCTTAAGAAGTAGATAGTAATTGCCTCTTTTCATGGATGAGGGAGCAGGCTCAGTGAGGGGAAATGACTTGCTTAAGGACAGCATGTTGGTAATGATTCTACACTGGACTCCTCTCACCTCACCAGTTCCATGTAATATGAAAGGCAAAGACTAAATTGATTTCAGCAAAACAATGAGAGCTACTTGGTCCTGTGCTGGATTCTACATGCAGGCTGAGAAGACATGGGATTCACTCTAGGGACACATATAATTTAGAGGAGGGAGGACTTGGGATAGCAGGAAGTCAAAGCCTATAGTGCCAGCAATGGGAAGACTAAAAGTTGACAGTGTGACTCACCCACTAGGCAGATGTCCTCATGAGGAAAGAACAGGGGAAGTTTAGAGGACCTGGAGGCTGTCTACTTTACATTGGGTTCTGGCCAAATGGGCACTGGACAGGCCCAAAAGCTTGGATTTGAGTGCTAGCACCATTTCTGTGCCATGATCTGTAGTAAATGCTCCTCTAGACCAAGTCAAATAAAATCTGTGCTACTGAGGTCAGCAGGTAACCAAGGCTTGGGAAGAGGAAGAGAAACACCAGGTACTGGTCCACACATTCAGACCTGAGGGCTAAGTGCCTTTTACTTTGCTGATGCAGTGGCTGAGACAGACACTGTGACAGCTTGAGTGGGAGACAGACCACCAAACACAGAACTACACATTTCATGAGTGCTGTGAATGGAGACTACAGGTTGCAGGTGCACAACAAAGGACGTCACTCCAGTCTTGGTGACCAGGCCTTCCTGGTATGATCAAGGGGAGTTAGCCCTACAAAGGAGGGTGAGGGAGGGGAAGGAGTATTCCAGAGGTAAAGTCTCTTCATCCAGAGGAAAAGCCTGGGATATATGAGACCATGCAAGAGGTGTGATGCAACTAGGGCCCCAATAGTCAGAGGAGAGTATTGAGAAGGGAGGTCAGAAATCCTCATCTCTCACCTCCAGTTTGGAGGATATCTTCTGGTGAATTCCCAGAGCCTCCTATCACATACACTGTAAAATCTTTTTTATGAGGAAACATTTTTCTATGGCTTAGAATGTTAAAGAGGCTAAGAATCCTGGGGCTAAACTTTCTGTGTGACAAAGATCTCCTTTTGCACAAACCATGTGCTCACGTGAAAGCACATGGCTCTGAAATAAGAGTACTGATGGGGTTCTGATCCTGACAGACCTTGAAGGGAGGCCTCAAATCTCTGGTGCTTGGTCCAGTAAGGCTAGAAAATCAGCTATAGGCTGAAGAAAATCAGAGGTTTCTGAGAGGAGAGACTTGAACTTGTCTAGCAAAACAGAAAGTAAGAGAAAGGGCATGGCAGCCAAGGCAAAAGGAACAGGATGTGATAGCAAGGCAAGGAAGGAACATCCAGTGATCACCAGGCAGATCCATCTGGGTGACAGTTCACAGCAGAGAAGCAGACAGCTGCTGAGGTACACAGAGCCAGCTGTGTGTACAAGACTTGGAGGGCAGTGAACATAAACTGTTTTTGGAAATATGAGCAAATTTCTCTATTGAAAAGTACATAGGGGACTGTAGGTGTATGGCTTAGGCAGTACAGCCACATCTGACTTCAAACCCCAGTCTCACCAAAGAAAAGTACATAGGAGCGCACACACACACACACACACACACTCAAAATATTATTATTATTATTTTACATATCATGTCCAGGAGTTCACAGCCCTCATGAAGTCCATAATAGGCCCTAGAATAAAAACTCAGTCCTAAAGCATTGACTGATGCCTGGCGAGCATGGCACTGTCCTGCACTCCCACATCTAACATAGGGATGATGAATTTCTCCCAGTGAAAGAGCCTCGGAATCCTCAACACAGTCCAGTCAGTCACTGGAATGAAGTTGACAATAGAAAGGAAGCCTAACTATTCCCTACCCTTTTATCATAAACAGTCAAGCTGTCATTCAAGGTTTTGGGGCAAAAGAAATTATAAAATTAAGCTAATTGCTTAAACAGGCTGAATTTAAAAGGGGGTAAGCAGAAAAACTGGGGGGGGGGGAACCGGTATAATTCACCCCATTTTTCCTTGCTATTCTCCAAGAGCTACCCACCTAGGTAGCCACCATCTCCCAGTCACCGAAAACATCTCCCAGTCAAAGGACATCCTGTCACATGTTCCCTTTTAGACTTATGTGAGCATTTCCCTAGGGCACATCCTGGGAGTGGGCTCCTTGGGTCACAGATGCATGTACTTGATGTGATTAAACGGTACAGTACATTCTAGGATAGCTGTTCCATCAATCTTACCACCAGCAGAACAGGGGTATTCTTGTGTACTTTTCTCCTTGCCAACATTTGGAGTAGCAAACTTCTTTTTTCTTTTTGATTTTTTGAGACAGGGTCTCACTATGTAGCCCAGGTTGGTCTTGAACTCAAAAGCCTTTTCTCCTCAACCTCCTGAGAGCTGGGGTTATAGATGTGCTGGCTTAGTAGCCAGCTTCTTAATCAATGCCAGTCTGAAGGGGGTATAAGAGTTATACTTATTATTATTTTAATTTGTGATGATCATCAATTTTGAGCTACTTGTATGTATGTTTGCATTTGGCGTTGTCTTTTGGGTACCTTACAGGGTTTTCTTTTAGGACATGGTGGCAGAGGTACTCCTCTTAACTTGCTATGATTCAATGAAAGAATCCAGGGCAGTCAGGGACCATGGGTTCTAGTTATACCTCTGCCACCTCCTGTTCTAACCCCTTAAGAAAGTGTACCATCTCGCTAAACTTCGGTCTTTTTACAGGTCCCCTGAGGTGCTCCTCCTTTCCCCCCCAGCTCCAGTTTTAGAAAGCAGCACTGAAAAGTGCAGGAAAGGGTTCTGTAAATCTGCAGAGTCAGGTCACAACAGACAAACTTTGGTGTCCTTCAGTGAGACTCCAGATGCAGGCATCATTGTTTGTAGCCTCATGGAGCTGAGGTGTAATGGAAGAAAAACAACAACCCTGGAGTCCAAGGGATGGTGTCCAGATACTGGCTATCACTCCCTCGCTGTAAAGGGGGAGGGAGGATGGCAACACCTCTTGTGCAAGGTGATTATCAGGATTGAGAACACACAGTAGAACTCCATAAGGAGTGGTGCACTTGGAAAGGAAGGACTGAAACTAAGTTTACCAGCACCAAGGCAAACTCAACAACTTTTCCTCTTGTACAGCTGGGTGGGCGGACCCTTTCCCTGCTTCCCCTTGAGCAGAGCAGCCCCCAAAGTTAGAATTTCACAAACCAGTTCTACCCATTTCATTTTGTTGCTTTGCAAGTGAATGCCCAGCAGGCAGTCATTTCAAAGTTCTGGGCCAGCTGGGGGGTGGCTGCCTGCTGAAAGTGGCTGAAAGGGCTTCTGAAGCTTGAGAAAGCCACCCTTGCTCTCCCCTGTGATTTCACCAATGAATTAATCTCTTTTAAAAAGAGCAATGCTTGTGACAGAGCACTGTGTCTCCGAAAAGGTTAGGATTCCATCATCCCTGAGATGATGAGTACAATGCGTAATGCAGGCTGCCACTCAGGGCAGAGCCCACAGGCACAGAGCAGCCTGTGGGGCTAGGTGGGGGAGGGAGGTGGGGTTTGGCAGGCCTTTCTAGGCTCGCTGTAGACTTGTGGCAGGCCCTTCCCTAATGAGCTAGTTCTCCCACTTGGCAAAGTGTGGTGGGTGATACTGAGGATAGCTCAGGGTAGTAGGCAGGAGACCACAGCAGAAATCCAAGGTTGAACCCCAGCTTTTCCACAACTCCCAGGCAGTAGAATGGGGCAGGAAAAAATTCAGTTCAAATACAGGCTCTGTCACTTACTGGGTGAGGACTGGTGGATAAATTAGTAACTTGGCCTCTCTGAACCACATTTCTCCTCTCACCTGGTAGCTCCTGCTCTTTGAGCCCATTTCCACATCTGTTAAAAAAAAAAAAAGGAGAGGATCCCACCAGCCTTACTACATATGTCACACTGGGGTGCCATGAAGAGACAATGGGATAAAATATGTAAAAATATCTAGTATGCAATAAGCACAGTGAAAATAGAAGAGCCTGTACTGTCATAATCAGTTTTCATTAGCATTTGTCCCATATTAAAAAAGTAACAGAGTAAACACAATAAAGTATAAAAGGTCTACATAGAAACTGGAACATTGTAAATGTAAAAATGATAAAATAAAA